AGACCCCAGAGTGACAGCTGCTCACAGACCTGGGCGAAGTGCGGGAGCATGCCATCGCCTTCTATTGGGACTTGTTTGCGGCTGAGCCCATTTGTCCGTGCACCGCCCAGCAGCTGCATTGGGATCTGCTGTGCCTGGGCGCTTCGCAGGTCGAGGCCCTGGAGCGCGAACTCTCCCTGGTGGAGCTGGAGGCCGCGGTGGGGGGGCTTGCCTCGGGCAGGACCCCGGGCCTTGACGGCCTGCCTGTGGAATTTTACAGAGCCTTCTGGCCCCTCCTCAGGCCCAGCCTCCTCCGCGTCCTCCGCAAGAGCCTCGCCGACAGGACCTTGCTGACCAGCTGCCACCAGGCAGTGCTCACCTTGCTGCCCAAGAAGGGGGACCTCGGCTGCCTGAAGAACTGGCGGCCCGTCTCCCTCCTGTGTGCCGACTACAAGTTCCTGGCCAAGGCGCTGGCGAACCATCTCCGCACCGTCATGGCCTCCGTCATCAGGCCTGAGCAGAGCTGCTGTGTGCCGGGCAGGACCATCCAGGACAACTTGTTTCTGCTACGTGACCTGCTCATGGCCACGGAGCTATTTGGTCTGGATGTTGGCTTGGTCTCTCTGGACCAGGAGAAGGCCTTCGATCGCGTCAACCACCAGTACCTGCTCGGCACCCTCAAGGCTTTTGACTTTGAGCCTCTTTTCATTGCAGCGCTCCGGGTCCTGTACCACAAAGCCTCCAGCCTGCTGAAGGTGAATGGCGTGCTATGCACCCTGTTCCTAGTGCGTCGGGACATCCACGAGGGCTGCCCCCTGTCGGGCATGCTGTACGCCCTGGCCATCGAATTGCTGCTGCGTGCTCTGCGATATCGCCTGACTGACTAATGGGCGCCATTGGCTCCCGTGAGCCGCCCTTTATCTGCCCACCACCGAGGGAAGCCAGGGCCTGATCAACCTGGCTAGCAGGGTGGCCGCCTACCACTTACAAGCCCTCCAGCAGCTTCTGTATGCTGAGGGCCACCTGCCGTGGCGGCAGCTGTCATGCCGGTTCCTGCACCAGGTGGGAGGCCTCAGCTTTGACCAGGAGCTGTTTATACTGGACCTCACCTTCCTGAACAGGACAGTCCTTCCCCCGTTCTACTGCAGCATGGTGTGGGCCTGGCGGGCTGCCTTCCATCTTTGTCCCCAGGCAAGGTGCCTGCCTTTCTTGCAGCAGCTTCAGGAGCCCCGGTCTACAACCCGGCCCTGCAGCATGTCGCGCCAAGTCTGGCCTCTGCCAGCCTCGTAACTGCCCTCAATGAGGTGCGCACCACCCGCCTGGGGCACCTCCTTGACCCCTCTCGGTTGGGCTGGTTGTCAGCCAAGGCCCTGGCTACCCGGCTGACCCTGTGCTCCGTCCACACCATGGGCTGGCTTCTGCGGGCCGTTAGGGCTGCCCTCCCGGCGGAGGCAGTGGCCACCCTGGAAGGCTACCTCCAGGCCCTCTCCACTGCAGATGCTGCTGTTGACACCTTCCCACCACCGCTGCTCAGTCCAGCGGTTGCCAGTGAGCTGGCTGACTGGCCTGACACACTGCTGAGGCTCCCTGTTTCCCCCGGAAGCAACAAAGGCTGCCCCTTCACCACACTGCCCTGGAGGGGACTCTACGCATGGGTGGTGTGCACCCATTATGCCCAGGTGCTAGCTGGCCATCCTGACACCGTGTAGCGGTGGCGCCTGGCATTGCCTGGGAACCCAGCGTGGTGCACACTGTACAAGGCGCCCACTGTGAAGAAGCCCAGCAACGTCCAGTGGAGATTGGTGCATGGCATCCTGGCCACTGGCACCTTTGTGCGCCACCTGGACCCGGTGGCCTGAGTGGCCGCCTTCTGCCCATGGGTGCTGGAAGAGAACATTTTCTATGCCTTCCTCGACTGCCCCTGGCTGTGGCCACTCTTTGCCATCCTCGGGGTGCTACTTCGGGCACTGGGCCGGGACTTTTCAGAGGACACATACATCTACTCTTTTCCATACTGGGTGGCTGAGCAGGGCGCAGTCAGCCTGGCCAACTTCCTACTGGGTGAGGCCAAGATGGCCACCCTGAAGAGCCGGCGAAATCAACTCACCGGTACCAGGATGGATGGCGTCCTGCAGCTCTTCTGCCTGCTGTTGCGGGCCTGCCTCTCACTTGAGTTCGAGCATGTGGTCCTCTGGCCGACAGTGCTCACCTTTGAGGAATGCTGGTCCATCGAGGGGGCGCTGTTCTGAGTCAAGGGGGGATGCCTGCTCTTTGCACTGTGATGCCGCCGCCTGCTCAGGGTGTGGGGGTGGGTCCAGCAAGCCGAAACCTTGGGCTTTGTTCGTGTGGGCTGACCCCTGATGTTCTGAGTCCCCCTTCCCCCGGGCATCGCTGTTGGTAGAACTGTATATATGTCTATATGTATATACTTCTCTTGTCTCTTGTGTTTTTGTTTTGTTTTGTTTTTTGTCTAGAGTCTGTGGGCAGGCCTTGCAGGCCATGAGCCCAGGCCTTGTCCTTGAGGCCCAGACCTTCGGGCCAACCTGTATATGATCTTTACTGCCCCCTCTTGTCACCCTCCCTGGAATAAATGGTTCTAAAAGTCAAAGCCTATCTATCTGTCTGTTACAGGTCCTCGTATTAAATTTGCCATTGTTCATGGTGGCGATGGGTGGAACAGTGCTATTCCTAAATTTATAATGGTGATTGGGATATAAATTCAAATTCTGTCATACAGCCTAAATAAATGAGCTGTGAATCATAAGTGGGTGTGGAGTTTCATTGGTGTGATGGAGGGAATTGACTGAGTAGCCAGTGCAGTTTGTGAAGTCTTAGCTACCTTGTTGGCACTGGATTTATGACCCAGATACCTTGTTCTGGGCGCACCCAAAACCTTAGACTGACCACAACCTCTCCATTTGATAAAAGACAAATTTTATTGTTATACACTAATAACAGATAAGAATAATGCAAAAAATTCTATATCTACCAGTCCTGGAGCTGTCACAGAGAGAAGGTATGTCTGACCAGTATGCGAGCTTCACCCTGAGGTTCTCTCTTGAATGTCAGATATCAGCAGGTTGGAGGCCGAGCCCCCCTCACTCTTCCTCCCCACCATGTGGGGTGGGTGAGATGGGCTGGTGGTATGCCCTCTGTTCATGGTGGCCTTGGGTTCTCCTGTCTGGGACCCTTTGCTACTCTGAAATTCCTCCTTTTGGATTCTTTATCTCCTCTGATGACACTTCATCTCTGGGCATCATTGATTGGTGTCCCTGTGTTAGTCGTACTGTACACATTCTGTCCTGTCAGTATATTCCTTTGTTCTAATAAACCCATCACACACACACATCTTAATTTAGTTATTTTTCAATCCTAATTTGGTCTTTTCACCAAAACTAGAAATCCCATGGGCCCTGCAGTTGGGTACTGACACCTAATGCCACCTTATCTCATGTTATGGAACAATGTAGTACATGTCTTCAGTTTTCCAGCCTATGCGTTTGCTGACTTTAGACACAGTGGGCCTTGAAGGAAACTTGGTTGCAAACAGACTTTTAGAAATCAATTAACCCTTGCCATTGCTCTGCACCATTGTTCTAATGCAGTGTCTACTTTACCTACAAGCCAGTTCCCATAAGCAAACCTTTAAATACAGTTTTCTAGCCATCAACCTCAGTGAATGTTCTCCGTGTTTTAGGTTGTCACAAAAAAAAATAGCCTGCAAGCAATACAATTTGCCTACTGGATTAGTACCTTTCCTCTTCTACTGTACAAAACTAGTGCAGCACCCAAGCAAATCCTACTGAGACAAAATTGTTCCCATTGCTACCTCAATGCTGCCACATTGTATATTTGTTTCTGTTTTCAGTGATGCTGTGAAATTCTTTGCATGAATATAGTTAATGTGCCTGATGGTAACACATTAAATAGTTGTGGGTGACGCACAAAAAGGGACAAAAACCATTTAATTATATCTGCAATGATTCCACAGTACTAGCTGGATAAAATGTAATTATTTTGTTGTTAATATCAGCAGATAGAATTCTGAGTACCCATGGGAAGTAGATATGTTAAGTGTAAAGTTGTTGGTTTGCAGTCACTTTTCAGAATACTTTTATAAGTCAGTGTCAGCCACTTATTAACACATGGTTGGGAAAGATACCTTCAAGTCTAAGTAGTATTTACTATTTGTTTAGCATTAGCAATGTGCTTGTCATTATACAAACTACAAAAATTACAAACAGCCTATACTCTGGAGAGATTATCATTTTAAAGATAAACATAGGGACAAAAAGGGTATTTTGAGAAAAACTGGAGGTGGTTATTAGAAGCTTTCTGTCTCCTACTTGAAATAGGATCATGTATCCTAGTCATCTCAGACATAACGGTAGGATAGCTTCCCCCACTCCCATCCCCCCAAACCAGTAATGTTGTAAAATATTTGCTAGATATTGGAGCTAACGCCAGTACAATCTGTGGTGTTTCCTAAATTATAAAGTTGTATAAATTTGAGGATTCATGGTCATTACTGTAATTAGAGACTGCCTTCAAATATACTTCCTATATTTTGGGAAATTAACTAGGAAATTAGCAACTGCATAAACTTGCCAAAAACTGGAAATTTGAAAGGCGAGTAAATAGTAATTTATTTTAAAAATTAAATCCAAATTTACTTTTTTTTTTCAAAATTCCTGTTACTAGTACAATTTGTGGCTCGCACTATAAACTAGTTAGTCTTAAATGGATAATACTGGTGAGCACCACGTTTTTTTCTTAGATGTTTCCAGGAACTATCTCTATGGCAGCAATTGGTCAATATATTTGTATTTTTTCTATGATGCATCTTTGGTACAGTTTTATAATACTTGACTCAATAAAATCAGTAAGACAGGAAGAATGAGAATGTATGCCAGTATTTTCCCTTTGCCATCAGGCTTTTTTGGTACTTCCTTAGTATGATTTTTTTTATTATTATTATAATTAAACAAAAATCCTGTTTGCTTTATTTATTTTTGCTTCAGAGGTATCCAGTGGTGATGTCTACTTACTTGGGAGTCATAGGTAGAGTTCTTCTCCAGAATACAAGTTTTTTTTCACTGCTTCTGAACCAGATGGCATGCGAGTTGGGACAGAAGGTAAGAGTATTTTGGCCTTAGCATTTCAAATGAACTGTATTTAAGGCCTGAATACACAAGCACATTGGTATTGGTAGTATGAATAAATTGATATGCTTTATTGGTTGACATTTTCCAGATGTACAAGTGAGACTAAAGAACCTTATTATTTAATCTTTTCCCTCTTCCAGCTCCTCAGAAATTTCTTTTAAAACATTTTTAAACATCAAATGAAAGCAAACTTTAAATGCTCCAGTTCTGTTATGTGTTTCTAACCTAGTTGACCTCAAATTGTTGTACTTTAAAACTGTTATGAATAGCTGCCAATGAATAAATACAAGGTAAAAGTTAAATATTAAGTGATTACTTGTAAAACCAATGAAAAATAATAGTGTGCAAGTGAAAGGAATTGAGTTGAGAACAAAAGAAAATAGGTAAAATTGTTGTGAATGATGAATTATTAAAAGTTAAAAAGTTTGGCTGTTTCTTTGAGCTTATTCATCTACTACAGAAATACTTTGTATATGAGGATCTTGATTTCCTAGAGTTGTTTAAGACAAAGTATTCTTATTTAAATTATGTTTATCTCTGATAGATAGGGATACAGAAAATTCCTAGTTTCCTGGGCTAGGGACAGAAATTACATATAAACCGGTATAAATGATTGGAAAACTATTCAAATCTGTAACACAACAGAAGTTCAGTGCACATAAACCACTTCCAAAATGGCTGAAACCAATTTAAGATAAACCTGGATGGATGTAGTATCAGATTTAACTGATTTCTGTTAAATCAGTTTATTGAACTACTGTCCCAGATACCTTCCAGATTCAAGTTAACTCTCAGTCTGCCTATATGCCAGGATGCTTTGCACCTCCCCTGCGAACCTCCCCCCCCCCCCCGCCCCCC